CTTGAATCGTGTCCGACCAAGCTCCAATTTTGGAGTTTCTCCGCCGCCATGCCGATAAGGCCGTGTTCGACCGTGGATGTGGGCAGCCCTCCTACCGTCCCTCTCGAGCCAATTCACTTGCACTACTAGGTTCACCTTGCCTCCTTCTCCACCCTGCGTGCCTTAGCCGAATCGCTATCGCCTCCCCGTCGTCACTAACCCGACCGTGCCACCATGGTGCGTCGCCGCATGGCTCGGTCGCACATGACCATCCCTCCTCCGCCATCCTCCACCCCAACCGTCACCTCGGCTAGATCCATGGTAGTATACTAATGCTCCCTTGCTAGCCAGTTAGGTTCTTAGGTGCTCTCGATCTCTGGGGCAGCTGCGCCGCCGTCGCTGATGGTCGCGCGTCGCTGCAGCTCGCTCTAGCGCGTCTCGCCACCCCTCATCGCCGCTTAGCATAGCCGTTCGGGTCAGAGATGGTGATCGACCCGTTAGGTGGGCCCGCGTAGGTCCTAGGTGGCTGGCGTAGGCACTCAGTGCCGCCGCTCGTCGCGCCACCGTGTACTAAGTTGCCGGGGGTGTGCGCGGGTGAATTTGAGAAAAGTTAGGGGGTTAAGTGAGAAGGTTTGAGAGAGGGGGAAATAGTGTTAGTACTTAGTTGTAATTTGGGAGAAGTACGAGGTCTATTTTGCAAAAATGTCAGCACGCGCGGGATTTCCCCACCGCGAGCCGTCTCCGCGTGGGCCGGTGTCATGTGGGCCACGCGGAAGAATTCATTTTTCTTTTTCATAAGAAATTAGAAATAGTTTTCTAATTTAATTTTTGAGCTGATCTTTGGTAAATTATATAAAATCATGTAGGTGTTCAAAAATTATAAAACAAATTTTCTTAGGTTTTCTAAAATTGTGCTCTATCTGTTAGTATGTTTAGTTCATATATATATACATGTTGATACTAGGAGCTATTAAATCATTTGAGAGTGCTTAATATTATTAGGTTAAATATTATATGAATTTTTATGGTAAATTGGTGATAACTTTAGTCCTAAAATTTTTATAGTAACTTCATTGTATTATTATGTGCTCACTGAAATTTTTATAGCTTTAGAATAGACTGAGCATTAGGGTAGTTAAATGCTCTTTGTTTCGATATACATTAAATCATTAATAGAAATAAAGATATATTCTTCATTTGTAAAGCTAAGCGTTTGTTAGTTGAACCCAACACTTTGCTTGGTAAAAATGATAGTTAGCTTAGTACCTTAGTCATTAGAGCTAGCTTAGTAGCTTAGTATGCGTATTCTTATTTTAAGAGTTGTTGTTGCATAAATGCTAAGTGTTGCATCATCATCGCATGCATGTAGAGAATGAGTTAGCGGAGATCGTGACCACTGGCGATCACGAGTTCGAGGAGATCTTCGAGAAGTACGAGGAGGAGATTCTCATGCAGGAGAAGGTCCCAGAGCTACCACTGACTGACTCAGCTGACACCGCGCCTACCCAAAACAAAACCCGGTGCATAACCTTTATTTTTTATAATCACCGAATATATATATATATATGTGTGTGTGTGATGTGCATTTACGTTACAGGAATTTTATGAAAACCACATGCATAGATATAACTGTCCTATGAGTCCTACTAGTACATGTTCGAGTAGCTGCTATGCTTAGGTTTTCGGTAGCGTGAGTAACCTGCTGTTACTCACAATAGATGATTATTATAATTACTCTCATGATAAAATAATGAAAGGAAAAATGAAGACAGGACAGGGATATGGTATGGGTATTGGTGAGTGTAATAGGTTGTGTCCCGCGGCTAACAGGGCTTAGCTTGGTTACACAGGTTTTCCTGTTCGTGTCGATTAAGGACCATCTGTTGTTGTGGATGGTAGTCAGGTCACAGACTTATTATCCTGAACACATACTTACTTATAGGAGCGGAAAGGCTCGTTACGCTCTTGCCGTGGGTTCGGCTCTTTTCGAACCGACTAATTGGAGGTGGGAAAATATATAGGTTTAAGCACCATACTGAGATCGGGTCTCAAGTGTGGCGGTTTGGAGTCCAAGTTTGGACAGAGACCTAGACCCCGTGATAAGAGTAAAATGGGTTGATCTTATTTGTGCTTAGGGTACAAATGGGGCATATGTTTCGGAGTACCCAGTTGTGATACATTGGTTCGTAAATCATCGTTTACGTGAGACGGTACGACTTAGCTATGATCTAGCACCGTAGTAAGAACTAGAAGATGAAAGATAGTAAAATGGTTCTGATTGCTCAACCCTTACTTGAAAGTAGAACATGTGCTTACTTAGAATGGTTAGCTAATGAAGTAATCATGACTGCTAATAAAATTGGACTGTAAGGATGAACTATTAATAATGTTTTTTACAAACAAAAAGAAACACAACAAACCATATTGCCTGTCATACTCCTTAAGAGTCGGGAAACTATTCTCCCTAGTCGGGTAAGTCTTACGAGTACATTGTGTACTCAGGGTTTATTTTACCTCTGTTGCAGGTGTAGCTTGAGGAATAGCTCTTGTGTGGAGGATTCTTTTGGTGAGCACAGACGGATCCTTGTATTGTTTTCGCTAGATGCTTATTTTCTTTCCGCTGTTTAATTATCGCACTCTGAACTCTAGTATTATAATAAATAATTTACAAGAACTTTTGTTGTATGAAATTGACTAAGTATTGTAAGCTCGTACTTATTATTGGATTATGGATGTAAAACGTGGATTGTTTCGAGTTCTCTCTTGGAGTGTGCTCGATGGAGCTGTCCGATGTAGCTCACTTTCGGGGTGCTTAGTGTTTAGTGGAAGACGAACGTCTCTGAAAGCGTGTTATTTCAGACGGTTCTGCCACAGGAGAGAGGGAGGAAGGGAGAGAGTGCCGCTCAGGGAGGGAAGAGAGCGCCGTGCTCAGGGGCGCCGCAGAAAGAGAGAGAGGCGAGGAGTGAGAGGTTGACAGAAACCCTAAGTATCCTATATATACTTGAGCGCCCTATCGGGCCTCGCTTGGGCCTTTTGGGCCTCGGCCTTGTTAACCGAGGCGGGCCACTTCTAAAAATGGAGGCATTTTGGCCGCCTCGGTTAATAGATTTTAGGAGGCGTTTATCTTTTAACCGTCTCGGTAAATCGATTTTGCGAGACGGTTGATTGTGACCGCCTCGGTTAATAAAAAATAACCGCCTCAATTAATCCGAGGCATTAACCGAGGCAGTTTCAAAGCCCGCTCGCCTCCGAGCCCTTTGCTAAACGCCCCGGATAAGTTGTTCTATAGTAGTGTAAGCAAATAAAATATTTTTGTATTCTATTAAGGTGGAGCGTCTTTTTTCCTAATTAAGCTACAAACCTTTTTTTCATTTGAACTTGGAACTTCATGGACCCATAACATGTTCTCCTGAAGCTATAACACTTTCATTTAAAATTAGAAACATTTTTCACATTAACATTTGACAAAATTTATAACGTTTTTGTCCTAAACATGGAACAGTTATTCTCATAAACTAGGAATATTGTTTTGCTCAATAAAAAAACATTTGAACCCATTAAAAATGTTCTTGGTGCACACTGCACACCGAGAACTGGTGAAAGGTATCATCTTCTATATCACGTGAAAAAATTGAGTCTTTCTAACCCTCTGTTTGTATTCCGTAATTTATTTTCCATAATGTCATGCTAGGGTAACTAGGGTTAGATCATGTCAAGGGACATAATGCATCCTGGGAAACGAGAGATTTATCCATTTTTTTTAGTATTACACAATACAACGCAGACGTCCACAACACGTACGCATACTCACCCTTATGAACACACGTACGTAAACCTATCCCCTATGAGCACCTTCGAAGGACTGAGCCGAAGATCTCGAGATTCATGAAGTCACCACTGGCGCTTCGCTGTCGACGGGGACGTCGCCTACCACTAAAAGCATAGCGCCGTTAAATCCTGGAATAAATTCAGGAAAATACGAGCACCCGTGCCAAGTCCACTTGAACCCGGGTGGGCAATGTAACTAGACATCTCTTGAGGCACAAATGTTTTTCCCTATAGGTAGAAAATTTTCTAATTACCCCTTCTGTGGTAGAATATTTTTCTTGACTTTATTAAAAACTTTGTTGTGGGTTTCTCTTGGAGGAACCCCACATGTGCATCGCCATTTACCTCACTGGAGGCGTCGCCTTGGAGTTTCCAACCCACTTTAGTGGTGGTCAGTTTGTGTGAGGCGTCTTGGCACCCGACTGCGAGTGTTAGGTCGCTCACGAGGCTACACTTCCTCGTGTTGCTGCCTATGTTGAGAGGCGCTATTTGTCCCTCTTGGTTTGAGGATGCAAGGGCAAAGCCAAAGCTGCTCATTGTGACATGTGAGGTGTGTTAATGCTAGACAACGATGACTTGTTGTGATCTCCTATCTAGTTGTGATGTTGGAACTTGGAAGCCATGTGTAGGTGTCATCTCTTTGGTGAATTTTGCATTAGCTGATGTCTATTACGAGGAGTCGAAACTATTGATTTCTACAGTGATAAGCTCAACAGCCATGACGCACAGCGGATTTCGTCTTTTCTTGAGCTGTCGCCAAGTGTTAGTATAGTGCGTCGGGTTAATCATTCGGGTTGTCATGCCCGGGTTTTTTTTTCCTGCCTTTTCTTCAATAAATTGTGTTGTTGTAAGTTTTTTGGACTCACCCTTCCTTATAAAACCATATCAATTATTTATTTTTAAGTGAATTCCTGTCTTCTTTGAAGAGGTTTGTTCGAAAAATAGAGATGGATAGAGCCACCAGATAAAACGAGGGATACTTGCTGGATCGTCCGGTGATGTAGAACCAGTGTCCATGACATCGATGTCAACGACCAGATATGCCTCACAACTCACAAGGTGATCCGGCCGGTGATACGTGCTCTGGTTCTCACGATACATCGATCCCATGTGGTGCAGGCAGAATTAGAAAATTTTCCATGAGCAAACACAATATAATGGACCATATAACGAACTTCAATTCAATCGCAGTGCTACAGCGAGTACACAAAACGGAAACTTAGAATGGCAAGCAGCACGACCAGGTGGAAGCAGCAGACACGAGGCGCGTGGCTGGCCCTGCTGACCTGCGCGTACTCGGCCGGGAGGGGCATGTCGTCCACGGGTAGCGAGCACGCCGCGGCTGGCCCCGCGTCTGCCGCCACCGCGACGACACCTGCGGCGGACGCCTCGTCCACGGCCATCAGGGCCTGGATCACGGCCGTGGCCGTCGCTCCGTAGCGCGTGGCGTTGCGCTGCAGCAGCCACATGAGCCCCATGAGCTCGCAGTCCCGGTCACTCTCGCTCGACCGGCCGGCGGTCTGCTTCTTCTTGCCCGCTGCCTCCGCGCCAGCGCCACCGCCGGGATTAGTGGCCTTTATCTGCGATGAATGTCAAGAGATTTGCATGAGGTCCACGCACTGACAATGCAATCACTAAACACCAATCCAAAAACAGACTTGAAAAATGGTACATGTTGACGTCGAGTTTGTCACTGTAAGACGGTAATAAAGGTTTTGCATGGTATATATTTACAAGCAGTTACATGACTGAGCGACGTTAACCCAAAGGAACAAGAACAAGGTAAAACTAGCAATTTACCATTAGCAGACGGCATTTAGGTTTAAGAATGCAGAGGAGAGACAAGCCCGCTACTGTTCGCACAAGTGGATTTATACGCACCAAGTATGTTGCGACACAGAAACCTTTGGAAGTAGCAGTACACTAGTGATTAGTGTACTAATCTACTCCCTCCATTCTAATTTATAGGATGTTTTGGGACTTCTAGATACATAGATTTTGCTAGGCATTTAGATATACACCCATGTCTAGATACATGATAAAATCAATACATCCAGAAAAGTCAAAACGTCTTATAATTTGAAATGGAGAAAGCAGTAATCTTCTTGTGGCACTGAGCACCCCGCGACATGTCTCGGGAACCCAGTTTAATTGTGGACATGTATGGCTCGGTTGCTGATAAAGCAAAGCGCAAAGCATATGATTCTTCTAATGGCACTGAGACCCTTCAGGGAAGAAAGAGGGAATGGAGTTCATCTCCGGGGCCAAATGCTCAAGCAATCAAAGTGGGCAGAGAGGGAGTGGAGGCATGTTCCAGCAAATCATTCTCCGGACTCCAGGCCCTACCCAACAGGTCCGGAATTCGGACCTCATGATTTATGGCCACTCAATCACTCACTCGCGCAGTCACACCCCAATCATGCTAACAACTAGACATAGGCAACACCGAGCTTGTAGACCGAGACACTAGCTACTGTGGCCCCGTGGGTGCAGTGCCGGTCCGTCCAATGCTTGCATTCGACGCCATGTCCTCTCAAAAGCATGTCAGACAGGCAATAGAATATGGACAATGCGCAGTGTGGTATGGTAGTAGTAGTGTCTGGTGCTGGTGATCAGTGAGTGAATTGAAGCTTTCCTAGTGTGTCCTACACCTGCTACCAACTCCTACACCGAACACCGTATTGCTAGATCAAAGCTTGCAAGACGATCGAGAACCCTCCATGGACCCTGACAGACGATCTGAGCTCGAAATGGAAATGAACGGATCATTTAATGCGTAGTGACAGGACAGAATCGTAAAATTGTTCGATGCTTTCTGTGTCCAACTACAGGTTAACGATAACGTTTCATGCTCGAAGGCTTTGGAGTTCCAGGTGATCAGGTCAGGTCAGCTATTCGATCTCACCGTGGTAAGAGCAAGAAGGCATTTGGAGCAGCCGGGGACGCCCGGCTGCGCGCAGTCCCTCTCCAGCCTCCTCGCCGCCGCGTCAGCTGGCGACCACAGCCCGCCCTCGGCCGGCGGGGGTCCGCACGTCAGCCGCCTCAGCCTCACCCCGCAGTAGCAGAACGCCAAGTCGCACGTCCCGTTGCCGCCAGGCGGGCGGGGCAGCGCCGCTCCCGCCGCACGCAGCGCGCGGTCCGTGGCGCCCGCGCACGCCTCGGAGTCGCCGGGCGGCAACGGCATGTCCACGGCGGCCGCGGCCGGGGACCTCGCGGGCGGCCGCTCCGCGAGCGCGGCGGGCGCATAGGCCGCGAACAGCCACGCGGCCAGCGCGGGGCAGCAGCGCAGCCTCGGCGGCAGCGCGCCGTCGTCGTCGGCGTCGCAGGAGGACCGCACGGCCGGGAGGAGCGCCGGGGAAGGCGCGAGCGGGCACGTGGACGACGACCCCGACAGCGAGTCCGACTGCTCGGGGAACGCCGGGATCGTGCCCCCGGAACGGCGGCGGCGGGCTGCACCGGGGTCGCCGAGGGGAAGATCAGTGCCGGGTGGAGCGGCGCCGGGTCCGGCAATGTGTCCGCGGCGGCGCGGTGGATCGGCGCGCGCAGCAGGAGGTGGGAGGCGGCCACGTAGTGGAGGAGGAGCAGGATAGAGCGCGCGCGGCCAAGGGGAGGCATCGCTCGTGGCGCGCGCACGCGTGCTCCCGTCCGTGCACGCTCGTGGGTTCTGTTTGGTTTGAGAGGGTGGCCGAGGCCGAGTGAGAGTGATCACTGATCAAAGATAGGGGGCCTATATGGAGGGTATGATGAGAGGATGCTGTGTGCGCTTTGCGGGTGTTTCTGAGCCAGCCAGCCAGAGCCAGAGAAGAGAGCGCGTATGATGGCATGGTAGCGTGGTTCTTATAACGGCCTCCCGGACGGCAAACCAGCTGCAGCCTTATGCAAAGTTCCTTCCAGTTTTCGGTTTCTCTGAGAATGCATTTTCAGGTAATTTCCCTTGCATTCAACATCGTACACGTATCTCTCTGGGCTTAAATTTAGCAGCTACAGGAGGCCAGCATTTCATCAACTTGATTTATTTCACCTCTCATTTTAGCAAGAGTTAGCACTATCTTGGCTTTTTGTGTTGTTCTTTTGCATCACATTCGCACTTCAATCTGTAACCCCTAATTCTCTCTTCATTTGTGTGGATCAATGACCAATTTTTGTCATGGCTTCGTCATTGTTTCGTGAGCAGATCGCACATCGCAGCCACGAGCCTTGTACAGCTGAGCTCTTCAACCAGCCTGGAGTACGTCTAGACCCTGAACCGCTGGACGGGCACGGATTATCATGGGACAGACTATACAGTACAGGATATGCTTGTGGATGTAGTATAAAAAAAGGATGGTTCAGCAACGCGTGCCTGCAGTATCCATACAGATACAAGCGGAAAGCTAGAACAACGCCATCATACATGCCTCAATGCCTAAAGCAGACAGAAAGGGAGTACTAGAACAGCTCTCATCCAGTGATAATGCCCCCCGTCTTTCACTACTTTGAGTAATACTCCTACTACTAATGATGACACCCATCATGTACTACTCGTCGTTTGGTACACATATACTCCGCAAAGCGTATTCACCACGTCTCTATGGCTATAAAGATGACGTTGGTCAAGGACACTGAAAAGAGGCGAGCGACAAGAAGAAACAAAACCAACCCCAGCCGGCGTCGGCGCCCAAGACGGGGAACACACGCGGACGCGGAGCAAGAAGCCGCGAGCAAACGGTGCCCGCGCCGCGCGCGCGTCCAGTAAACTGCAGCGAATCACACGCTGGCCTCGCCGGGGCGTGCGTGACGACGTGACGGGCGCGGGATGGGTGACCGGCCGGCGGCCGCATGCGGCCGGGCAGGCAAGGCGGGGCGGGGCGGGTCCGTCTTAAAAGCAGCACGAGCCACGTCGCCGGGGCTTAATTTTTGTGCGTGGACGCCTGCTGGGGCTGTCGGTCACGGACTCACGGGCGCAGGCACCGGCGCTTCAAGCGAGACGGGCCGAGGACGAACGGAATGTTTTCTTTGCTGGCTGTTGCGCTCCTCACTCCTGCAGTCCTGCAGATTCCTTCGGCTTGTTTCCATCGTACTCGTATTAGTCACGGCTTAATAGCTGAGCTGTTTCTTGGGTAGTACTCCCACGGCTCTCAGGCCACCCGCAATGAGCGACTCTCTAAGCATTTTTTTTATATTTTAATAAAAGTGAGAGAAAAACTAGCTCTTATCAAAATCTATGTCCATACAAAATATTTCAATATCATGTGAAATTGTCACGTGAGGTTGTTCGTGTTATGAACGATATGCAAAAAATTAAGACTATTGAGAAATTGGCTGAGAGGCAGTAACTTATACCATTGCGGTTAAAAAGGACATAGTTGGTGTTGGTGTCTTGTTATTTCTTTTCTGTCTTTGTCCTCCTCGTAATTTGAACAAAAACGGTAGAAAGGCAAGTAGCCTCAACGCTAAAACTGCAACGTTCAACTGACAACAAGATCACATCAAGTTTGAGCTCTACAAAAAACATTGTGAATTGGAATTTCAGACTTGTGGGGGAATGAGGTGACCTTAGCAATCTCTCTTCTTTTATCGAGGTCTTTATGAACTTTAATTTTACTATTGTAGCACTAGAGATAAACACATAGATGGAAATGTTTGGTTAGCGGTCTGCCAGACAACTTTTCCACTAAACATCGATCTCATCTAGGCAACCAAAATGGACAGCAAGCAGGCAAAGGTGCCTAGCGGCTCAACCAAACAAGCCTGACGTGCGTGGGAAGAACTTTAGGGCGTCATTGGTTCTTATTTCCCGGAGCCAGGCTTGTACCTGTGTAGCCCCGCGCTTGTGGGCTAGGGTCTGAGCATGTAGCAGCGCCTTGTTTGCTTGGTGTTTCCATCCATACCATCTCATCATAGAATATCTTTGGTTGCCCTTTCTCTGCTCGCCTCGTGCATACGCTAAGAGAGCAACAAACGCGAGCACGCATCGCACGAGCCAGGCCGCGTAGAAACGGATCCTGCGAGCCAGGCTCTGCGGCAGCTTTTGCATGCATCGGGCCAGTCCCAACTTGAAGTGCAGGTAACCAATCATCCGAACATTGCATACAACGGGCCAGGCCAAGCCACATCTGGCCAACCAATGAGACCCTTATATATGCTAGTGGACGATAGTCTGATATGCCAATGGCCGATATAGTCAAACAGATGTCAAGACACGCGGGTTGAAATAGTGTTTAGGCTAACCTGTGACTATTCAATCCAGCCAAATTTGAAGACTGTTTAGGCCCAGAGGACCCCTAGACATGTTCTATTTTTCTATTTTCTCAGCTCAACTCAACTAGGTAATGATCACCTCTTCAACCAATACATGGGCTCGGGACGACTAATATGCTTAGTAGGCTAGAACCGGTAGAAGTCAAGTGTGTGAGTGGAAACTCACTCTTGCGCATGTATATGGTTCACCGGGTATAACCAACACTAAAACTTACAATAATGAATGACATGGATATATGGCTTGCATGAAAGGATAGCAAGTTTTAGTGGTGAATAATGTGGACACCTTGTATGAAGAGATAAAACATCTAGTAGAGATTAACTTTATTAGCGATAGATTCCATTTCATATTTTTCACACATTTTGGCTAAGCCAAAATTGGTGTCAAGAATACGAGAGCCATTGAGTCGAAGCGCCTGGCCAATAGGTTCAGAGTCAAGGAGATGCCCAAGCCTCCCAAGTCATTTAATTTGGTGTCATTACCTTCTGCCATCGGAAACAATGACCTCCACTTCCCTTACTCCATCTGTCTCAAAAAGAGTGTTGCTATAGAATTTGTGTTGTCCAAATTTTCTTATGTATCCGTAAAAAAATATTAGCAACATATGTATAAGTTTATTATGAAAACATATTTTGTGACTTATCTAATGATACTAATTATGCATCATAAATATTATTTTTTAATAATTAAAAGTGTTTCTCGGTAAGTGAGAATGACACTTTTTATGGGACAGAGGGAGTACACGAGAAGGATCATTTTATCTTGACAAGCTTTCTCATAGCTCTTTCTTGATTTTGCTTGTCCTTTTTTTGCTCTTCTTGATAACTGAGGTATGCAAGGATAGCGCTGGCAGGTAGCTAGTATCCTGCCCTTTATCTTGACAAGCTTTCTGATAGCTCTTTCTTGATTTTCCTTGTCCTTTTTTGCTCTTCTTGATAACTGAGGTATGCAAGGATAGCGCTGGCAGCTAGCTAGTATCCTGCCCTTTATCTTGACAAGCTTTCTGATAGCTCTTTCTTGATTTTCCTTGTCCTTTTTTGCTCTTCTTGATAACTGAGGTGTGCAAGGATAGCGCTGGCAGCTAGCTAGTATCCTGCCCAATCCGAAGAAGATGTCATGCATATGCATACATACCCGAAGTGGGACAGATTCGAAACAATGCGTATCATCATCGCCAAAGAAATTTGATGAGACAGACCTATATACATTATGTGCACTCGATCAAACAAGTACCCTCGTCACGTACCTAGAGTCCAACGGCTTGCTTCAAATGAAGCGGTGCATGCATCCCGTGCGGGCGGCCGTGCGCCCACCAAGGGCAGGGCCACGTCTCGCGTCGCGTCCTCGTCATCCAGTCCACACATCTTGTCTTAGCAGACTTAGTTATCGTTTTATTACCAGATGAAAAGGTTCTGACCAAGCTTGAATTCCTATCTGTGAAGATTGTTTTACCAAACATAGGTATCATTTGACAGTGTGATTTGAGTTGGAATTCTTCCTGTGGATTTTTCTCTCTGTTCTAGCAACTCAAAAGTCAATCACTAGAAAGTCGAGGGTCTCTACCAGGTGGGTAGTTGACTGAAGCGTCTCTACCCGGTGATCTAGCCTATCTGACTAGATCCGAGACAAGGAAGAACCAGGGTCGGTGCCCAGTACGCCCACCAAGGGGCAGGGCCACGTCTCGCGTCGCGTCCTCGTCATCCAGTCCGGACATCTTGCAGCCGTCACGCCAGGTTGATGGTTGGGCCGAGCGTAAACGGAACTCGTGGTGCCAGCAACAATAACGAAAATGTGAGACTCACATTGTCACATTGAAGGCAATCTTGGATCTTTGGCAGTGAAAAAACTAAGCTTACAGCCCGTTCGTTTGGCTGTGGCTTGTCGTAAATAATCGTAAATTTCTAGCTGGAATAGTATTTTTCTCAAACCAGCCAAATGCTAAA